GGCAGGAGGAGACAGGAGCTTAGGATTCAGTCTGAGGTTTTGTAGAAACAGCAATCAACCTGAGGATTTATAGGGACAAGATCGCCCATTTGGTCTGAGAATTTGGTAGAGGTAAGAAAGAATGAGGCAGGCTGCTCTGTTTCCCTGATCTTTCATCATTAACCTCTATATCTGACTCCAAGTTTTTATCCTAAAGACCAACTAGAATTTGCATTACAAAAATGTTTCTGTCTTTTAAATTCTTTCTTTTAGTTTGATGCCTGGAACTGCAATGAAGTTCTGAAGCAATTGTCATAGATACACTATGAAAATCAGATGTAAAAATGAGTTCTATCATGTTTGCATATGTATATTCATAATATTTGCAAACTTTTAAGTGGAATTATTAGCATGTCACAGATGGCCAGCTCAAGGCAGTCTGGCCTCTTCACACTCCAGGAGCAGATGACTGTTTGTGCCACCCCAGGGGTTCATTTGCTTCTCTCTTCACTTGTCTTTGTTTCTGTCCTCCTGGGTTCACATATGACCCTTCTCTGTTGGAAAGTCATGTCAGGCAAACCCATGCTCCCTTGCCTGAAATAACTAATAGCATTTACTGATACAGTGTTTAATATTCCTTGCCTTCCTTCTCTGTGTTGTAAATGTACATTCTTAGCTATAGTGTCAACTCCTTGAAGAAAGAGATTGCATTTCATGACTCCCTCAGTACCAAACAGAAGAGCTGCCTTCTCAGGATGAATTCATTGACAGAGATCATATTTTCTTTAATAATTGACAAGATTATGAAGACCATGAACAAGGTGTCATATCCCCTTCCCCCTTGAAAACCATATTAATATAGACACCTGGGTCCTCTTTATTTTCTGTCTCAACGTACTGAGTTGACAGTGTGTTAGATGGGCAGAGATTGTTGGGCATTGCTCCTTGTGTCATGAACATCATCAGGCCTCTTTAGTGAGACTAGAGAGAGAAGTTAACATTTCTTTCTCCAACTTCTGCATCTGGAAAGAATTGCTTTTGTAAATATATCTTTCTGTGAAAAAAGAAGTACACTGGTATGTGATGTCCTTCTGTATATGTGTTGTTTTTAATTGGTTAATGATTAGAGCTCCTTTGGCCTATGGCAGGGCATAATAAAGCCAGGCTGGAAGAGATATATAGAGAGAGTAGACAGAGTCAAAGAGATGCCATGTAGGTGCCAAAGGACAAAGATGCCAGGCCGGAAACTTACCTGCAGTCACAGCCTAGTGATAGTACTCAGCATAACAGAAATGGGTTAATTTAAGATATAAGAGCTAGTTAGCAATATGCTTACGATGTTGGCCTAACAGTGTTGTAATTAAGATAGTTTCTGTGTGATTATTTAGGTATGGGTGGCTGGAAACAAACAAGCCATCTCCTAATACAGTACCCCTTCTCATAGTACACAAAAGAAACATAAACTGAGTTCTTTCCTTAGGACAGCATAGCACTTTTTATTGAGATGTCATCCTATCGTCCCCCACACTGCCATGCCTGTGTGTGTATGTGTGTGTGTGTGTATTTGTGTGTGTGTGGGGGTGTGTGTGTGTATGCACATACTTTTAACATAGGTGAATGCTGAGTGTTTGCATGTCTGTTCATACCTGGATCCTCAGTGAGTCTGGGTACTAATGCATCTCACAAGCCATTCCAATGAGAACTTCTTAGGTGCTTGACTCTTTGGGGGAACTCTCAAAAAGGTGGGTCTAGCTCAGAGTACTTGGGAAAGAACAGATTAAACCAAGGAAAACCACTGCTTACATCACCAACTCTATAGAACATATTTTTTATGTATTCAGATTAGTGTTGAAATGCCTCATGGTTAAAAGATAAATGAACTGAATAATAGCATTTAACCTAATGGAGGAGTGTGTGGAAAGTTGAGTTCAGTCCACAAAATATGCCCTGACAAGTAGTGAAAAACTAGTAACTGGTTTCTCTAGCTTGTAATCCCTACTACCTTGTGAGGGAAGGGGATAGCAAGTTCAGCGCATCTAGGGAAAGAAATAAGATCTTTCCTCAAAACTGAAAGTGAAAAAAATGGAAAAAGTGAAAAGAAAACTAAAAATGAAAAATGAGACCTTAGTTAAAGCTCAGTGATAGGGTATTTGCCCAGCATTTACAAGATCCTGGGTACCATGCTCCCATTCATATGCCAAATAAAATAAACACTAGGGTTTGTGCGATTTGGTTGGTCCCTGTGAGACCCTGGTCCTAACTGAGGTTGTTAGTGATAAACAGGCTGCAGCAAAGGATTCACTAGATAGGCCAGAGTCACATGAGGAGATGTGAGGAAATCTGAAGTTTGTCTTTTTCTGATACCTGAAAAGTGTAGCGAGGAGCTGCGGACAGGCCTGCTTTTCGTCCCACACAGCTCCCTCTCGGTTAGCTTAGCCCCAGAAATAACAACACACAAATTGTATTCATTTAAGCACTGCCTGGTCCATTATCTCTAGAGAGTTAGTTACTGACTAAATCTCACATCTTGATTAACCCATTTCTAATAATCTGTGTAGCACCACGAGTTGGTGGCTTACCAGAAAAGATTCAGCATGTCTGACCTGGTGGCTGGCTCCATGGCATCTGCCCCATTGCCCTCATCCCAGCATTCTGTTCTGTTTACTCCGCCTACCTAATTTTCTGTCCTATCAAAAGGCCAAGGCAGTCTCTTTATTGACCAATGAAAATAACACAATAGACAGATAACCCTCCTCCATCAGAAAAGCTAGATCTATTTGAGAAAACTGTGTTTGTCTAGCCTCATCCTGGCCTCCCTTACCCAGTTATGATGTTTTCAGATCATCATCAAGTCTGATGCTGTGGAACAATCTTTGCACACTGTAAATATTAATACTCTCATTTGTTAAATAAAATGCCAACTGGTCTATAGCTGGTCAGGAAGAGACTGGGCTGGAGAGCCATACTAGGAGGATGCTGGAAGAAAAGGCACAGACTGAGGAGTCACCAGCCAGACTGGGAAGAAACAGTATGGAAAGTGCATAGATGAGGTAATGAACCTTGGGGCAGCACATAGATTAATACAAATGGGCTAATTCAAGTTATGAGTTAGTTAAAAACAAGTCTAAGCTATGGGACAAGTTTTCGTAATTAACAAAAAGTCTCAGGATGGTTATTCAGGTGGGGTGATGGGCAGTTCCGATGAAAAGCTCTGCCTACAACTGACTTGTCTGCCTTAAGTGACCATACACCATAAAATACTGGCTTCTAGGCCTGGCAAGTTTTGGTGGGAATTCTCTTAATCACTTCTGGAAGCCAGATAACTTTGAAATTTAACTTGATAACTTATGCATTAGCTTTGGGGCCTCCCTAGCAACATTCTTGAGAGTCTGTATTAGCCATTTTCTTTTTTTGCTGTAGCAAAATACCTTATCTAAGCAACTAAAGGGATGGAGAATTTAATTTGGCTCATGTTTGAAATATTATTTTAACTAGGCAAAGATGTGCTGCATCTGTTTACGCTGTGGAATATTATTTTAACTGTATAAAGGCGTTTTACATTTGTTTATGCTGCATTGGTTAACTATGTAAAGATGTGTTCCATTTGTTTCACCTCACCTGCCTAAGGGACCTGATTGGTCTAATAAAAAGCTGAAGAGCCAATAGCTAGTTAAGAAAGACTAGGTGGGGCTGGCAGGACAGAGAGAAATAAGAGGAGGAGAAATCTGGGCTTGAGAGAGGAAGAATGAGAAGAGAAGAAGGAGGAAAGAACGAGGATCACACTCAGGGGCCAGAAACCAGGCAAGCCAGACCTAGAGATAGCAAGGAAGGAAAGGTTAAAAGCCCCTAGGCAAAAGGTAAAGAAAGAGAAACTGGTTAAGTTAAAAGAGCTAGCCAGAGACATGCCTAATTAGGCCAAGCACTCAAAACTAATAAGTCTCTGTGTCATGATTTGGGAGCTGGTTAGTGGTCCCAAAGAAAAAGCCTGGTACAGGCTCACTGTTCAAGGACACACTGTCCTGGCAGAAGAAGCCTGGCAAGGAGGAGAAGAGGGGAAGTGTGTGATGGAGCAAAGACCTCCTTTATGAGCCAAGAAGCAAAGAGTTAAAGGGCCTATCGTCCTAGCCCTTGCCCACTGACTTTTCCTTTTACTTCTTAAAGATGTCTTCCGATTTGGCCTTCTGGTAGTGCGTTACTAGGAAAGAAGTCTTTTCATACAAAGGTCCTTGGAGAGGACTGCCAATAATTCATGCCATGGTCCTTAGATCTGGGTGACCCACGTCTGTTCCGTCGTATTCATCTGTGTGTCTGGTCTAGAGCGAACTTTCAGTCTCTGCCTTACTGGAGTGAGTTTCCGAGGCTTTCCAAATCACAATGCCCTGCTCTGGAATAAAGGCAGACAGCTTGAAACTCAGTGTATGCCTTTGGAATCTACCTCGCATGAAAATCACCTCCCGTTGGTGGGTAGCCTATGTGTGGCAGGGCCTTTCTCGACCCAGCACTTTCCCCTTTTCAGGGCCTCAAAGGGAGTGGGGCTCAGCATGGAAGGCTGAGGTTAGAGGTTTCTCAGAAACATCCGCTTCACAATTCACAAAAACAATCCGCTGCGATTCTTTGCAGTTGAACGACTTTGAGCCTTTTGATTTCATTTTCCTTAGATATCTATCAGTGCTTTGTAACTTGTGCGCAAACAAACGGAAACAGAAAGTCATTTTTAAGCTAATTTTATATTTTGGTTCAGGATTGAAAAACAGTCCCTGTTCACACACCAGCTATAGCCTGTGGCACCGAAGCCGTGCCTGCTCTTCCAGCACAGATCCGGGCAGGTCAGTTAACAGGGATTCAGGGTGATCGAGAGGGAAAAGAAAGGTTGCCTTTTGTTTGCAGGTAATGCGCCACTCCACATCCGTCCTCCCACCCTCTCAGAACCTCAGGTTATTCTAGTTTCCATGCGTGTCATGGTTGTAGAACCTTTTAGAAAAACTAACGTCCTACATTCTCATCAACAGTCACGGAGCATAGCACGGTTGGCTAGTATTTCATTGCAGTGTCCTGAGCTGCCCGGTCACTTCATTCTAAATTTGGGTTTAAATAAAGGGCATTTAGCTGCAGTGCCTCTAGAAAGCCCTGAAGTAAGGTCAGATAGGCGTATAACTTTGGCATTGCCTTAAAGTGAATTTTAGAGTTGTCATTCCTTTGTGTACAATGAATAGATATTGATCCTTCCCAAGAAATCTTGAATAAATAAGCTACAAATCAAGGTTGATTTCCTACCTCAACGTCCCCAGCAGAAACAAGGTGTCAGTACCGTAGCCTCAGCAGAACCCTGGATGAACTCTGCTTTCACTCCTGACAGTTATTTCTCTACTTGCACACAGCATCTTGGTGAGTAACAAAGCACCCGAGGATGATGCTCAGATTCCTCCTAATGCTTACAGGGGATTTAGGGAATCAGTGAGGTGGGGAAGTGTTGTAACTCTCAGTGCTATAATCACTGATGAATTGTGCTTGCTGAAGAAGTGACCCCCACCTACGATCATGCAAGATTCCTAATTAAAAGTTCTCTCTCCCTCCCTTCCTCTCTCTTCCTCTCTCTCCCTTTCTCTCTCCCTCCCTCCATCTCTGTCTCTGTCTCTATCTCTCTCTGTCTCTCTCTCTCTCACACACACACGCACACAAACACAACATGAAAATGTGAGAGTGACTTGGGTAAGAGGTGGATGGAAGGAATAAGAAGTTTGGACTTGAATGTGATCAAAGTTCACTATGTACACATATGAAACTGTGAAATAATAAAAGGTTAAACACCAAAAGAGAGAGAGAGAAATAAAAATATTTCCTGAAATGATTTGTAATTAACATGACATTGAATTCCTAATATCTAGGTTTAAATCCAAAACATTAGTTTTTAAGAATCTACATAGCCCAAAATATTAAAATGACAGTATATAAGCTTTCAAAAGTAATTTTTCCTTTTCCTGAACTTTATTACAATAAACCTTGCAAATAAAACACACACACAAATTTAACCTTAAGTGTATACATTTCTGTGTGCTACACAATTAGAGTTCCATTTGGAGCCAAAGCTGTGCAGTTTCACATTGGACTTCACACTTTTAAAATGGATCATAATTTATGCATTTATGGGCTGAATATGGGTGACAGACTCGAGCTATGAAGGAGGATATAAAATTAATTGTTTTTCTAGTTCTAACACATTGGTGGTGGATAAAATCTGTTTTATCTATGTTACCTGGTTTTCCTTTGGCGAGGCTGTTAGACTCTTCCTGTGGAATGTGTCAAGCATACTATAGTCAGTTACGAGTACACACATAGAAAAATACATATGTCTGTGTCAAGTGCAGTAAAGTACGTGCGTGATCTTGAACAACTTTGTTTACTCAATAGTATGTTCTGAAAAATTTTTCCTTTAAGACCTAGGGGGTTAATGCATTCTTTTAAGAAACCATACAGAATACACTTAAGAATTACAATTTTCCTAAACTCTTTACTATTGTAAAGTATATAGGAAGATATTTTGTATATATGTAATTTTACTAAAAGCTAACTATAGGTAAAGGATAAGCATCTAGAAATAGGATTGCTGTGTAAAGACATTGAGTGATTGCTCTCTGAAAACTTTGCCCAGCCAACTTACAATGCATGTGGTAACTATTTCCTTGACATGCCCTATGATACACAAGTAAAGAATGTGACATTATTGATGGCAAGCACTTACATGCTACTTAGAGTCTGCCAGGCACTGGTACTTCACATATATTATCTCCAATAAGACTTAGAGCAACCTTGTGAGGGAGATACTTTCATCATCGCTAATTTATAGTGAGATAAAACACTGACCTCCCTCCCCTTTGAGGTCATCCTGCTGATAAATAGTAGCTGATAGCTGAGCCCACGGACGTCTGGCTCCAAGAATTAGTTCTTGTAACCATGACCCTAAATTGCTCTAAGCACAAAGATTTTCCTCAAATGTTCTACAGTTGAAGCCGTAAAGGGTTTCTCAAGAAATAACTGTTCAAATGTTGAACGAGGATGAGGGAATCGGACTCTGTTACTGAAATCTTTTTCTCTATAGTGTCTGAGCCCTCTTCATCATTCACAGATTTTAGCTCACTAACGCACTGTCTGAGTTCATTCTGATCGTAATGAAGATGGCTCTCAATGTCCACGTAAGTCAACACTTCACGGCCCTCCCCTCTTAGTTCCTCTACTGCTCATTCCTCAGTGCCTCTGATCTCATCCAACCTCAGCTGCCTTTTTCTGAAGCCATAACTGGGGTTTGCATTTGTCAGCAATAACTGTGACTCCTTTGTTATGTAAGTTTCAAGATTCTATCCATAGTCTAGTAGCTTTCATTTTTCTCTCTTCTCTAATTCTTCAACTCTTTGACTTTGTTGAACTTTGCTCTCCTGACCTCAGTATGAATTTTCTTTTCATCTTTAGGCCAGTCTCCTCGAAGTTTATTTACGTTTAACCATTTTTTGCTGCCATCTTTCTTACTTACATCACATCTTTCAACAAACACTGCTAGCTTGCCCTTTCAATATACTCTCAAAACATCGGACAAGCTTATTAAAATGCAAATGAAATTAGGTCACTAGCCATTTTAAATCCCTCCGATGTCTTACCGTTTCATTTGGGATAAAGGCAAACCATTTTAAGTGATGTACAAAGTACTGAACAGCTTCTCTGGTTTTATTTTATACTTTCTGCTTTGCTTTCTCACAGGACTTACTGCCATGTGGGCTACCTTCTGGTTCAGTCAACACCCTAGATATGCTTTTACCCTAAGGGTTTTCCTTTATTGTGGGTGGCATTGGGAACTGATCTAAGGGTGTTGAAAATGCAGCTCAGGAGCTGTACCATTTAGTCACAACCTCAGCCACCACACTCTGAGGTCTTTGTATTTGCATTGTACTCTTGCAGATGACAGTTTCCTTCAAAGGACAAGCCCTTCCTAACTGATACAATCCCTAAGTAAAATAGAGCTGCTAGTAAAATTTTTGTCATAAAATATGTACAAAAATTTACTATGTTGTTATTTTTGGTATTAAGTTCCATGTAATGTTATTTATTTCCTTTAACAAAGTAAACATTTAATCAAACTTAAAATACTTAATTGGGAGTCTCTTGCTCTTAATTTGATACTGTTTTGATGTATAAACTCATGATTCTTAAAGAATGGAGGTGTACTTAGATGCTTAACATAGAAATGTGAACACATTTGTCACAGTAGTAGGCTATATTGTAATGGTTGTTCTGTCTCTTTAAGAGACAGCTATGCCCACTCCCTCTCCCATCTACTGAGGCAGGCAGGTAGGCAGGTCTTCCTTCCTGCTTTCAGCCTTAGTGTCTCTCTTTTCCGGCTTCCTCTTGAAGAGGCAGTTTAGGTCTCTCCTCTCTCTCTCCTCTCTCTCTCCTCTCTCTCTCTCTCTCTCTCTCTCTCTCTCTCTCTCTCTCTGCCTCTCTGTTCTCTCCTTCTCCCTGCCCTTCCACAACCCACTAAATAAATAGCCAACCCCACTCTGCATGGCGTGCCTATCTACGGTAACCACATGGCTTGCCACAGGGGACGCTGCCAGGGGCCAGCCACCTTCAGAGATCTGCAGCATGGTCTCATGCGCAGTCCCTGCCTAGGACTAGCTGCTCTCGGGACCCCTTGCCCACTGCCTGCTGCCACTGGGGATCTTGCAGCAAGCTACTTGGGGATCTGCAGCAATTTTTAATAATTCATTACATATATAAAGACTCAGTTTTGCTAAAAATGTATATTTTATATTTTGTGTGGTGATAAGCTTATTTGCAATTCCAAAAAAAACTGGAAATAATGTTTATGACTTCAAACTTGTACAGGGTGAATTTATAGAAAAGTTAAGTTGTCTTCAAAACATAACCCTCTGTTATGTCTCTAAAAAAACAAAGAAGAGCAGTAGTGTGAGGAGAATATAGCAACAGCTGAAATGCTGTTGTGGAAAACTGTCAAACTTAATGAGAAACAGCTATGAAGTATAAATGGGAAGAAGCTATGGAGCAGTGTGTGCAGTGTGATTCCTACAATTTTCATTAAGAAATCAATGGAAAGGAATTATTGTTGGTACAGCATAAAAATAAAAATATTACCATGTAGTATACCAGCAACCACAATGAGAACTCAATGGGGAGAGAGGAGGAGGGTAGCCATTTCATTTTCATTTATGCTTCTTACAGTTTTATTTTCAAAATGTGACCTTTTTTGTTTTTATACCTAAATTTTAATTTTCAGTGAAATACCAAACTGAGTCATTTAGAAGTACTTGGTAGTTGTCACTTCTTAAATTCCATTGCCTTTTTTAGACCCTATTGTCCATTTAGTGCTGTGCTCAGGTGGAAATAAGAAAGTAGCAAAAGCAATCAAATCAAAGGAAACATAACAGGGGAGACCTACGCTTAGCTCCCAAGGAACTCACTCCATAGTGGATTCCCTGTCCCGTGACACTTCCGCCACCCCAGCAGTTGCTCAGAGGATTCAAATTTCTTCTGTGCCATTTGTAATAGTTAAAGAATCAAATCAAACTAGGAGTCTACCAATAGATGAATGGATGAAGAAAATGTAGTAATACAACAAAATGGAATTTTATTCTGGTGTAAAGAAAAATGTAATCATTACATTTGTAAGAAGATGGATTAAGCTGGAAATGATAGTTATATAAAATATGATGGACTCAGAGAGAGAGAACTATTGAATGTTTTCTGTCAGATATAGATTGTAATTATTTATCTTTATTGTTTTGTATGTGTGCACGCTTGTGTGTGTGTGTGTTTGTGTGTGTGTGTGTGTGTGTGTGTGTTTGTGTGTGTGTGTGTAGGTGATCATGAAAGGGGAAATAAGGTTCTCAAGAGAAAAGGGAAGAGAGTAATAGGTTGTAGGTGACATAAGAGAAGAAAGTTTCAGAGAGAGGACACAGTATGCAGGAGGAAAGAGGTGAAGCAAGATCAAGGAAAACAAAGCATATATGAAAACATCCAGTTAAACCTCTACTTTGCATGTTAATTTAAAAGTAATTTTAAAAGGCTATGGAGGAATAAAACCAACAGGAAAACACAAAGAGTAATATATGTGTAATTCAGGCCTTCATGAAGTAAATGAGGGGCATATAAAGAACAAAGGGAGTTTTCAGTAGCCATTAGACAAAGAAGATAAATGATCTCTGGTTTGATTTTTTTTGATGCTTTTATGGTTACTTCTTCAGAGGGATCCTCTTGAGAAGAATGCTGGAAATGGGACAGAAGTTAATCCTGTAGGACAGGAACCTCAAAACAACAATGAGACATTTTGAGAATGTCCTTGCTGGAGGCCAGAAATTCCAGAGAAGCATCACTTTTGA